AGGGTCAATAGACTTTAATTTCTGGGGATGTACTTGTGGGTTCATGAGGCGGTCTATGTGCAGCAGAGCAGAAGGGCCCAGTTTATAAAGTGTGGCCATGGTAATGTCACAACTTCTCTGAGCCCCATTGTCCTCATCTGTCAAATGGAGGCATTTTTATGAGGCTAAGAATGATCATATATATGACATGCTCTGCAAATCTTTAAACTGCTATGTAAATTTCAGTGGTCAGTAAGTGAGAAATTGAGAGAACTATGTGTGTTTCATCTTTAGAGGGGAAGAGAAGGTATTCATACCTTTTGATAGATAATCTTTGACTGCCAAAATAGTTCTTATCGAAGAAACTAGTAAATGTAAGTTGGACAAGAAGAAGTTAATTTAAAATGAGCAATATGAGAATTAGGTTTAAAATATTTTTTGAAAGACTGAATAAAGAAATAGATGGCCTGCTTATCAAGCTTGCATGTGACAATTAGGAAGGATAGATCAGACATGGATGGTAGTCAAGATCCAGAAAGATCTTAACAGCTAGAACGCTGGGCCAAACTTGCACTTGAGTTCAAAAACTCAACTTCACAAGTATAAAAGGTTATAAAAATAAAAACTGTATAGCAGTTCATTTGAAAAAGATATGGGTGTTTTAATAGACTCTGGAGTCAGTGTTGGTTAACAGTGTGATCTGGCAGCCAAGAACTGTAATATGATCATCTCCCTGTACTTTGTCAAGCAATATCTATTGTGTTCAGTTCTGGGACTACATCTTAATAATGGTATTGAGAAACAGGAGAATGTCCCGTGGAGGGTAACTAAGACAAGGAAAGTCCTCAGTTAATGGAAGGAGGAATGTAGAGATTGGAAAATCCAAAACTTAAAGGTGTCATTGCGAAGATCTTCAAGTTCTTCTTGGCCCCAGAAAGCAGCACTAAGAGTGAAGAATGGAAGTTTCAAAGAAGCAAATTTGGTCATGATTAAGGAAAAACAAATTGTGCTATCTAAAAACAGTGTGCACTACCTTAGGAGGTAGTGGGCTTCCCCTCACTGGAGGTCCTCAAAGATCATATGACCTCTCTGATCTCATCACTATGCTGCAAACTCAAGCCTTGGATGTTCAACACTTCCCCACCTCCCTCAGCTTCCTCTCTCTTCTCTTTGGAGGGATGGAGGGTGAGGCGCTCAAATTCCTCCCAAAGTCTTCGTTCATAGAGCTGAATTTGAATATCCACCTCACACCACTTGCCCTCTGTGGCTCTGCTTGGCCTCAACTATGCGGAACAAGGTGCTTCCCTGTTCCTAGCTTCCTGCTCCTCATTGTCCTTCCCACGTTAGATTGTAAGCACTTTGTCTTCTTTTTCTTGTTTCCCCAACACCTAGCACTGTACCTGGCAATAGTAGGTACTTAATAAATGTTTACTGAATTGAATTATTGTTTAGGGAATGATTATTTAGAATTGGCATGGACTAGATTATCCTCTGAGGTCCTTCCAACTCTGAGGTTCTGTAATTCTATATAAAACAGATTCTCTAATCTAAAACAGACAAGTAGCTGGATGGCACAGTGGCTAGAGCAACAGACTTGGAGTCAAGAAGAGCTGAATTCAGATACAGCCTCAGACAATAGCTGTGTGGCCCTGGGCTAGTCACTTATCTCTCTTTGCCTCAGTTCCCTCATCTGTAAAATGAGCTGGAAAGGGAGATGGCAAACCACTCTAGTATCTCTGCCAAGAAAACCCAAACGGGGTCACAAAGCAAGTGAAACGACTGAACAACAACAATCTGAAAAATGGGAGAGGTCAAAGAGCACATACTATAACTTGAGTTTTGCTGTTTTTCCACCATTGGTATATTCCCCCAAAAGGAAGAAAGTGAAGGTTTTGATGTGGAATGGTATAAAAAAAAATAATACCAAGGTTGAAAGTCATTAAAAGCCAGGAAATTCCAGGTTTTGCCATTTTTGTATTTCTTACTGCCCCGAAGCCTAGATTGTTTACCAGCAATGTGGATTTCAGTTAACTGCTATGTTTGTTATGTATGTGTGTTGTCAGAGATGCTGTTGATATGAAGGAGTTGAATGCAGTAGCTTTGGGCTTTTATCAAAATAATGTTTTAATAAGCTTTATAAAGCATTGGAAATTTACCACAGTCTACAGTTAATTTCTTTGTGCGGCATGGAAGAACAAGTCCTTTTTCTTGAACAATGAATTCATAAGCAGACTGTCAATTTAAAAGACAGGTTAATGTTTATGGAATATCCAAATATGAGTTAACACTCTCTACTTTCATCTATCATGAGATTTGGCATTCTTTTTTTCAAATAGTATTTAAGAAAACTTGAATTAAATAGTTAAGTAACAAATACAGAATCAGAGTCCTAGATGACCTCAAGTCCACTACTCCAGCCCCTTCATGAAGCATGAATCCCTCTTCATCCTTTTAAGAAGTGTCTATCAGAAAAATTTATTTTTCTTATATTTAGCCAAAATCTGACCTTCTGCAACTTTCTAGTTCTCTTTTCCTGGGGCAAGTAGAATAATTTGAAGAACATTCTGTTGCAAGTTCCCTAACATGTACTCTTCTCTTGGATAAATAGCGCTAATTCTCTGAACAGATCAATATATGATATGCTTTCCTGGCCCCTTGCCTTCTGGTTTTTCCTTCCTCTGAATGTGGTGTAACATGGCTTTGTCGATTCTAAAATGTGGGGCCCAGAATTGAATGCAATATACTAGCTATGGTTTAGACCAAGCCACGGACCCTACTTAGCTTTTCTCCAGACTTTTTGGAATCTTCTCTAAAGTAGGGAATTGTGTCTAGGAATCCCCTCCTTGTAATATTACAGATTTTCAGTGGAATAGTCATTTCCTCCCAATTTTACCTTTTTATTTCACAATCCATTTCATTATTGTTCCAAGTCGTGTCCAGGATCTCATTTCCTTTGCGTTGCTTCATTCTTATTTTGAATGATAAACTAGTTATCATTTCAAGGATTTATAAAATGCTCTGCTTTGAGTAGGCAATCTCTAAGAGATACCCAGATAATTGGTCACCCTTACCATAAGCCTGGCTTTCCTCTGTGCTAGTTTTGTTTGGAAAATGTTTCAAAGATCTACAGTTTACCAGTTCATACTTCCTGATATTGACACTTTTCTCCTATAAAACCTAATAGTCTCCGGTAGAATTTTTCCAGGAGACTACAAGTATTCATGTTCTGCACAGTTTTGGACAGTTTTTTGAGGTTAATTTTATTCTGCCCTGGAGATTTTTTGGTTCCTTACATTTTCCACGGCTTCTTCAGTAACAACTGCCACTGTCCTAAGTTTCTTTTTAACATTGAAGGATACTGTACGGAGTATCACAATAAGAGTCTTCAGATCTTGGAGCTGGACACAACCTAAGCCATCATCTCATCTTGCCCCTCCCTCCCCTCATTTAACAGACTAGGAATCTAAGAACCCGCTAGGGACAGCTAGAAGAGAAAATCTGAAGGAAAGGCCAGCCAGAAATGTTTGTCAGACCACAGTTTTGGAAGTAAAGATGATTCTCTTTTACTTCACCATTAAAAAGTCAGTAGTACATGTATCTTTTTTTTTTAATGTTTAGCTATACACGTGAAAGATTCTTGCTACTTCGATTCAATTCAGTAAACATTGCAAGGCCGCCATGATACAAAGACAAAAATAGTCCTTATAGAGCTTATGTTCTGTTGATGAGATAAAACAGGAGCCCAGTGCAGTAGAAAGAATGGTAGAGTCCAAGGCCTGTGTTTGAATTTTGAGTCTTGGTTTCCTCATGGAGGGTATGGCTAGAAAGCTTCTCAGGTCCCTTCCAGCCAACGAAATAGGAATATTTGGGGGTGAAATGCCTCAGGACCTAGGAATCTGTTAGTACAGGGAAATCTCCTTTACCAATGCAGATCTGCAATGATTCTGCAACTTGTAATAATAGCTGGGACGCTAAAAAGGGAAGTGACTTAAGGGATTGGTTCACATAGCCGTTATCAGAGGCATCCCCCCATTACTCCTTGCTACCCTTCAGATCATCCTAGGGAAATTAAGAAAAAGAAAGCCCTCTGGGGTCATTATAAGTACAGAAACTCCAGGACAGTGAATATAAATAAGCACAAATGTTCTCTGTCACAAAGATATTTTTATATCTTATAAGATGGCATGTAGACATAATGCTTTGTTAATCTGGTTATAATAAATCCTGAATACAGTCCTGTGCCTTCTCTGGCTACAGTCCTGGCCTGATTGTATATGAACTGAGCTCTTGTTTTGGTCATTTCATTTTATCTTTGAAAAAATGCAAAAAAAAGTTCAAGAGCTAGGGAGAAGGTACAGTGGGAAGGGTTTCTTCAATATGTGCTTAATACCAGCTTATTTGTTTATTCTTGATTTGTTGTAAGAATCTGTGATCAACTGTTGGTATTTTTGAGATCCTGCAGAATAGAAATATAAATCCTTGCAGAGTGTCCTTTTCAACAGAATTTCATTATGGTGAAAATAATTTACATATCTGAATTCCTTATGCTATGTTTCACCTATAGTAATAGTTTTTCTGTTAATTTATGAAATAATTCCAGTGATTTGAAATTTTTCAAATTTTTTAAATATAGGATTTGTAATAAGGATTTAATTGTAAAGAATTTGTTACTTCCTAGTAAAATAACCATGGAATAATCATAGGTGTATGGAGTTAGAGCTGGGAGGTACCTCAGAGTCCATCTAAGTCTCTCAGCTCATGTCAGGCTGGGAAATTTGAATCCCGGTTTTTCTGGCTCTGAGTTCAGCGTTTTCTGGTCTGTTGCGTCTCCAGAGTGTGAAGTATACACCAAAATCAGCCACTCTTGCTGACGCTGTTGTGACACACGTCAGCCATCACTATTCTGCACATCTACTGATCCCTCACAAGTGTGTAAAATATTGACTCCAGGTTTTTGTGCATGGTTTTAGATGCACATGATGTTTTCTGTCACTAAAATATCACTGCTTTTCCTCTCATAGCTGTATGCAGGAGCTATTCTTGAAGTGTGTGGATGAAAATTGGGGCGGTTCCCTCAAGTCCAGGGTAAGTAAAATTGAAATGTAGGGATTAAATCCAAACCTGTAAATTCATAGGAAGCTCCCTGGTTGAAAACTTTATCAGCCGATGGGGAGCTACAGTGCTTGTGCCTTTTATAGTCCTAGAGAGATGTTGAAGGCACTGAGTGTCTAAGTGACAGGGTTGGATGAAGATGTTGTCAGAGCCGACTGAAACCAGGACCTCCTGACTCTGTACTTGCTAAGGCATGGTGCCTCTTGACTAAAGTAAATCGTTTAAAATAAGCATTTTCGTAACATAATTACCAAGAGAAATAAGCGTTTTTTAAGATAACAAGTCCTACATATTTCATGAAATGTTTCTCAAAATCTATTCATTTATATTGCTGGTGATCTGGAAGCTAAACAGTCCGTTGTTTGCTTTATAAAAGGACTTATGTTCAGAGTCATTTAAATAACATGTACATACTCCAGGAGTAAAATGGGAATTTTATAGAAGTCTCTCTTTTCACTCCAACCATCATAACGTACCTAAGACATACATCCACTCACATTCTTTCGCTGGCTCCAAATTGCCTGTGATCAAACACAGACTCCTTTGCCTGCATATCCTTTAAAGACCCTCCACAGTCAAGGATCCCACCTCTCTCATTTCCCACCATTCTCCTCAACAGCCTTGAGGTCCTGGCCAGTTCTCCAAATCTGACATCCCATCTCCATGTATCAGACTTCTTGTTGCCTTTAAGGTGGACTCAGGTGCCTCTGCTGTGAAGCCTTCCCCATCCCTGCTCACACCTAGCCCCAGGTGCTTAGGCTCTTTCTCCTCTGTTTACCCTGTCATATGTATGTGCCCTCTCCCAGGACGAGGCAAGCCCCTCAAAGACAGGGAACATTTTGTTTATGTCTTTATTCCCAGGGCCCAGCAGAATGCTTTGTGTGTACCTGGAATTTCATTCCTGTTTGTTGAAGTGAATTCCCAGAGGATTTGATTACAGAAAGGGGTTTTGACTCTTGTGAAAGAGAGTATGTAATGAACTCTAAAGGATATTCATTTGGAAGAAAGTAGCTTATATGAAAATTTTTAAGATTTTAGGGGTATATTTGAACTATAAAAAGGGCTCAAGGTTTTCTGCTGCTGTTCTTCTGGTCACTTGAAATATAGTTTACAAAGTTGAGTTTACCTGAAGTTCTACCACTGTTTGCAAAATGCCAACATTTTTTGATTTTCTTGAATACTTGTGTGCTAATTTTGTGTTTGATATTTTTATGCTAGTTTCCTTCCTGCCTAATACCCAAAGTGTGCTTTTCCTTTTTTATGCAATGACAGGATTAATTTCTGAGTTCACTGTGTTATATAATTACCCATTTAGCATATACATTTTATTGCTAACCTAGAATGCTGTTGAATAAAATATGGCTCATTTTTGTCCCCTAAATCTAGCAAAGTAATGAGAATAGATTCAGCCATGCATCTGGTTAACACATTACATGTGTATTACACAGCCTTGGGCCCTGTCATCACGGTATCAGCGTGCATATTCCATTGCAGTTTGGTGTAGGTCAGAACTGTCTGAAAAGCCTTCCAGAGAGGAGCCACAGAACCACGTTAGGGAGCTCCCTGTGCTGTAACAAAGAGAGGAGCTATTTCCCTTCAGCTGGTGTGAAACACTTACACTTAGCAAAACACACTGGAAATTCTTTAGCTAAAACTGATTAAAAATACAGACAAGGTCATTTGTTGAATGGAAGAAAAAGAATAAGACTGCTAAAAGAATGAGTGGAAAGGTTAAGGGTTGGAGAGGGATTAACGTGACTGATTAAACTAAAAGTTATTCTAGTGGGATATAAACTTCTTGAGGTTGGGGACTTTTTTTAAAATTTTGACTTTTTATCCCCAATGCCTATCACAGTAAGTGAAACATAGTAGCGGCTTGATAACACTGAGTTATTCTTGATCTAGAATACTTCAGGATAGAGGTAGAACTATATCCTAACTTTGTGAAGGACAAATTTAGAACTGTTAGGCACAATTCAGTGGGGTCACAATGGGAAAAAAACTAGACCGAAAGAGTCCATAAAATAATCTTATTGTATCCAGACCTATCATTAAGCCAGTTGGTCCTATTGTTGGGCCGGGAAACCTGTAACAAAGATGATTTGGGGGCATTTCATATGCAAACTGTAAATAGTTGCAAGGCAACTTAAATACACTGCATATTGGATTAAGTGCATGTTTTCATTTAATAGAACCTAAAACATAAAAGCTTTAGCCTCTGATTTCCCCCCAAAAAAATTCACCTTGCATGATTTTTCTTTTCCTCAGATAACTTTAATCTCAAAATGGTACTACTATTCAATATCTTGACTTTTCTTGTCAGTCATTAGGCATTTATTAAGCACCTACTGTGTGCTAAGCACTGGAAATGCAAAGAAAGGCAAAAGACGGTCACTGCTCTCGAGGAGCCCACAAACCAATGGAGGAGACAAAATGCAAACAACTATGTACAAATAAGTTATATACAAAATAAATAGGAACTAATCAACGGGTGTAATCAACTAAAATGAGGAGGGATTGAGATTATTTATCTCAACCATCATTATGATGGTTTTGATCATTCTTATTCCTACAACCTGTTGCCTACTTGAAGACCTTTGCTTCCTAATTGTATTGATTTCCATCTAATAATTTATTACATGAGTCTTTTTTTTTTTTTGACTACAGGATTTTCTGTTTTCACTAGGTTTGGAAACAGTTTTGATTCAAAGTAATTAGTCACACTATTTAAAATGTCTAATTTTATGACTTCAATAGCTTCTTCAACTGATGCTGGTATTTATTCTTTAAAGTCTTTTTAAGTATGGATTATCAGCATTTGATAATGTTTTGCATGTACCTTTAGGTAATGAGAAGCAGTAGTGGTTCAGAGTCAGGAACACTTGGTCCTCCCTCTGGTACTTACTGGCTGTGGAGCCCAGGAATTCTCAGTTAACCTTAAGTTTACCCATATGTCATAGAGGGGTACATTCTGTAAATCTAAGGTGGTGGAGGGTGTTCCTACCCTAGGAGTTCCCTACACTTAGAAAATCATGGCTCTTTCGATTTCAGAATAGATAATTATGTAATCTGTGCAGCTTGAACACTTGTATTTTTATATTAATTCCAAGTATTTTGCTCTGTAACTTAACTTTTAATAAAGTATGAGCTTTCCTGTAAATAGAAATTATTGTAGTCTTTAAATATGTTTGATATATTTCAAAATTTTTCAAAACATGTAAATGTTCTTTAGAATTGTCACCTTATGGGCAGCTAGGTGACACAGTGCATAGAGCACTGGCCCTGAAGTCAGGAGGACCCGAGTTCAAATCCGGCCTCAGACCAAACACTTGACGCTTACTAGCTGTGTGACCCTGGGCAAGTCACTTAACTCCAATTGCCTTAAAAAAAAAAAAAAGAATTGTCACCTTACTAATGCATGCCAGAGAGAAATTATGTTTATTGTTTATATAAAGCAAGTTCTGTAAGGCAAGCTGTATTTTAATATGTTTAATTTAGCAATAATTAAGTTAACCCCTCAAAAACAGCTGAAAGCTGAAGATATTCTGAAAGTTTCCATCTCACATGCAGATACTGAACTCATTTTGTTGTCTGTCAGCAATACTTCATATTCTTAAATATTAGATATCTTCCTTGATTAGAAATAATATACTCTTCTGTAATTAGAGTGATTGGTGGATCATTGTTCTAAAATCCTTCCCAGCCTAGCCCTGTCTCACTTTCTTTCCCAGCCTTTTTACTGTTCATCACCCACAGCACGCCACCTCCTGTCTTTAAGTTTGTGGAACTTCAGCTAGCTATGCCATCCAAAATTAATTGTAAATGAACGTCTCAGCTGCCCCAGAAGGGGATAAAAAATTAAAATCTCAACTGGTTTTTAACCACATTCAGTCACACCAGTGATAGTGCTACCCAAGCATTTTTATTAACCAATTTTCAAAATACCACTGCCTGAAATGGAGGGATTTGTGGTTTTATCTTGAAGAGATTGGTAGTGGTAGTGGCGGCGTTGGTGGTAGCAGTGGCGGGGTGGTGTGGAGGGTGGTGGTGATGGTGTTTGAGATATAAGATCATTTATATTAAGTTAAACTTACTATTCTGTGGTAATGTCAGCAAAGGAAAATATTGTGAAGGGAAAATGAACGTTTTCCTCTGTCACCCACCATTCCATTTGGTTTATGCCTCCAAAGAATCTTTGTCTGCTTAATTACTTAATATAATCACAGAATTTTACAACTGGGAAGAACCTTAGAGATCATTGAAGCCAACACCTTTATTTTACATATGTGGGGAACTGAGGCCTTAAAAGATTAAGTGACAAACTTAGTGGCAGAATAAGAATTAGAACCAGGTTTTCTCACTACCAACTGAGGGTTTTTATGGATGTTTCTTTTTTTTAACCATATCCTTCTTGTTGATACAAAGTGTTTTTTCACTCTTTCCCATGTTTGTATTCCAGTCATCTAGTCCATGTCAAATTCATTAAAACTTCCAAGCACACCTTTTCATTGGTTATTTCAGTGATAAATCTTCAACACATGTATTGTCTGCCTTTATATTTTGGAAATCTAAATGAATCCTAAATTACAACCACATTTTGTATTTTTAAATATTGAAGTACTGCCCTGATGTGGTTTCATTTAAAACAAACAAAAACTGTTTTTTATTGGTTGCCATTTGGCAGCAGTACGATCTTTAAATATGTCTTCAACCATTTTAACTTAGATTTTAACTTCAGTTTTACCGCTAGCAATCCCAAGAGCCTCTAAAAGTTAAGGTTTCACTGAAAAAAAAAAGCACCCTGGACAAAGCAGTGAGATCAGGACTGTGGAATCCTCGCCAGCACTTGTATTCCCTTGAGAGCCCCATAAATTACATTGTGATAAGAATCGCAGAAGTACAAAAGGCCCTGAGTATTTTGTCTTGTCTTTCATCATTTCTATATTTGAGTACATCAAAGTGTTACTGATGGTGCTGCCTGAATAACTGTCAAGTAACTGAAGTAATTGATAGAAGAGCATCTTCCAGAAATAGACGAGCAGATTCATCGCTTCTCTGAGACTCTTGCACTGATGTCATTGATCCTGCTGTTTTTAAAAACAGCATGAAGTAGACTGGAAGATGGTAACTTGGTTACCTTCAGGGGCTCTGTTTGCTAGTGCAAGTTTTTTATATCTAAATTGTTCTTCCTGAATGCTACCTTGAAAATATATTTGAAAGAGGTCATAAAAACCCCAACATCCTTTCTTCTGGACTTTTTCCTTTGCTGTTTCGTACGTTTGAAGATTAGTACCCACAGAGAACAGAGCACAAGGAATTTGGTTGCAGTATGGGAATGTGCGAACGTTAGATCAAACATCACTCTAAACAAAGCATCCTAATTCCACTATCTATCGATTATAAGGTTTTGGGTTTTTAATGCATTCTTTGTGAGATTTTGCTTGTTATTTTCTTGTTAATTTATGGGAATTTTTTCTTCTAAATCCTGTGTATTTATATTGAGAATTTAAATGCAGTAAATGCCATGTTCAGTAATATAGATAATTAATGTTAGTATTGAAGGCAAGAAATGTATTTTTTTTTTGGTTAGGCAATGGGGTTAAGTGACTTGCCCAGGGTCACACAGCTAGTAAGTGTTATATGTCTGAGGCTAGATTTGAACTCAGGTCCTCCTGAATCCAGGGATGGTGCTCTCTTCACTGTGCCACCTAGCTGCCCCCCAAGAAATGTATTTATAGATCAATAAATTTGTTTATTGCAGCTGATGTGTCATAGACAACACAACACATCATTTCTGTGAATCTTTGGGAAGACATGGTCTTCTGGCCATCATGGTAGTTTCTGACATAACATTCCTACTCAGAACAGAGCCATGGTTAAAATTGAGTGACATACCCAGTTCTAAAACCGTAGCCCAGTGAATGTTGCTCACTGACTCCCAACACCTGTTGGGCCTTGCTTCATTCATTTTCATGACAAAGCCTAGTAGTACTGATCTTTAATTGGATCCAGATTGTACCAAACCAGAACTAAAGCCACTGTAATGTGAATAAAATAGGTATATATACTTCTGCTTTTGACAATAAGAAAAAAATCTAAATTCTAAGGTATTTTAAATTTAAAAGAAGGTTTTATTTCAGGGAACTATGAGATAGATATCACCTGAATAATAATTTACTTCAGTGAATTTATTAGTTATTTGGATGCAGATATAAAAATGCTTAAGAATAATAGCTATAATATATGCAGTTTTAAGGTTTACAAAATACTATACAAATATCTCATTTTATCCTTGTAATAACCCTGGAACATGGGTGCTATTATTTATCCCCATTTTGCAGGTGGAGAAACTGAGGCAGAAAAGTTAAGTAACTTGCCCAGAGTCACGCAACTATCAAGTGGCCGGATTTTAACTCAGGTCTTCCCAACTCCAAGTGCAGTGCTCTACCCACTGTACCTAGAATTTCCAAATGACGTAAAGCTGGAACATTTATCTAATGATTATTGGGTAACAAAATTGTGATTCAGAAATAATCTTGGTAGTTGAAAAATGAACTACAAATAACATGGAATTAAATAGTGATAAACGAATTCCACATAGGTCACAAACCATGACTACACAAGATAAGGGAGATTTCGCTTAAGAGCAGTTAATATGAAAAAGATTTAGGTTTTCATGGCCTTCAAGTTCAGTATATGTCAAAGTACTGTGACCGCCAAAAAATAAAAAGTCAATTCCATTTTAGGCTGTATTGTTAACGGCACAGGACTCCCTGATCATGGGCATTAATAGTCCCACTGTCTTCTGCAATGACCAGGCCCCATCGGGAGCATTGTATTCAGTTCTGGGTACCACAGTAGGACCATTGACAAATTAGAGCATGTCCAAGAAAGCAGATGGGAGAATAATGGGGGTGAAGAGGGTCCCAAAACGAGGTCACATGAGAAACAATTGAAGGATTTGTGGGGATGGTTGGGGGAGGGAGGAGAAGGGGAGAAGGTTGGGTATTAACTGTGAAGAGAAGTTCTCTGTTAAGTCTACAGGACAAAACTAGAAACAGTGGGAGAAGCACAGGGAGGTCGTTTTTGGCTCGCGTAAGGAGAAATCTTTTAACAGTGGGCTTTACACAGATGGAAAGGCATATCTTGTCAGATCACTAGTTTTTAGCTGCTGGATATGTTGGGAAAGGAATATCCTTGTGATAAAACAGGTGGAAACTTGAACTACATGACCTCAACAAAGCTCCTGGTTACTCTGATCCCCTGAGGACATGTCAGCCAAGGCACAGAGAACATGATAAGGCGATAGGTGTCCAAAGAAACCCTGCTCTTGGAGATGCAGATTTACAGCAGTTTGAGTTTAGGGGGATGCCTACTGACCTGGAGTAGGGAGACCTAGGTTCAGAAGCTGTCCCTGTCACTCAAGACCTTGAGTAAGTTACTCTTTGGCAAAATGGAGCCGTGTGAAACACAGTAGCCCACTTAGGTGGATTTCAAACATATTTGAAAGGCAGAATTCAGAGCAGTTATCAATGGTTTAAGGTTACCTTGGAAAGGAGCTCCAGGGATATGTGCTTGACCCTATTTCATTTTAAAATTGTTATCACTGATGTGGATAAAGGCATGAAGGGCATGCTTTATCAAGTCTGCTGATGTTTCAAAGCTAGGAGAGGTAACTAACTCTCTAGATGGCAGAATTGGGATTCAAAAAGATCTTGACAGTCCAGAACATGGGGCCAAACATAATGTGAACTTTAATAGGAATAAATACAGAGGCTTGTGTTTGAGTTCACCAGGACAGGATGTGGGAAGTATAGCTAGAAAGCAGCTCACCCAGAAGAGATCTGGACGCATCCTAGTGGAATGGAGGCCCAGTTTGAATCAACCGCCATCTTAAGCTACAAGATGAAGAGCCTCCAAAGGAAGGCAGCCAAGATGGTGGGGGGCCTTGAGATCATGCCATCTGGGCAGGAGAAGAGAGGATGAGGGAGATGGGATAGCTGTTTTCAGTATTTGACAGGCTGTTATCGCATGAAAGAGACATCAGACCTGTTCTGTTTGGTCCTAGAAGATAAAGCAAGGTAACTGGTTAAGAGTTGCAAAGGGACAACCTCGAAGCTGTTGGAAGAGGAGGCAGTGTGGTACAGTGGAAAGAGCTCTGGCCCTCCAGGCAGAAGCCCTAGGTTCGAATCCTTCGGTTGCTTATCTCCCTAGGCCTTGGGTTCCTTATGTGTAAAGTGAGGGTGTTGGATGGTTCTTGAGGTCTCTTCCAGCTGTAAATAGGATGTAGGACTTTGTAACAATTAGAGCCTAGGCCTTCAAGCCAAGCCAGGTGGCTTTGCTGGTGTTTTGTAGACAGGATCCTTATTTGTGGATGGACTGCACTGGATCAGATCGCTTCCAAAATTCTGGGATTCTCCTGCCTCTCAAAGTTTCTGTTTATTGCATGTCTGTAACACAAGTGTCATAGTATTTCTGCAACTTAGGTCACAGGATTATAAGAATCAAAAGAAGTCATGTAATAAATTCATAATAAAAAATGTTCCTGGTAATTCATTAAATGCTGTTACACTGCCTAGTTCTGAACCACAAAGGAAGTTTGCAAAAGGAATACATGGTCATTTAAGCTAAGTAGAGAATGATGTAGATTATAATCAAGAATTTTATGTAAGTCCATAGAATAACAATGTCTTTCAACTATTCTTTGATTGGCTTATTAAATCCAGCAAACCTGATACTAAATAAAGACAATACTGTGTATGATCTAAAAGCCTGTATAGTCTAATGAAATCTTTATGAATGCTATTGACCACCTGTTATTTATCTGAATGAATCCTGTGTCCTAAAAGCAATTCTTTTTTAAATTTTAGCTTTTGTCAAGAGTGACAAACCCAAACTATTCAGGGGACTACAAATCAAGGTAAGAAATTTTTGCCCATTTTGACTGAGGAGAAGGCTAGGGCAGAAAATAGATCATTTAGAATGTAAAATTTAATTTATTGAAACAATAAATTATGTTTATTCAGTTCCATTAAAGTTAGATCCAGTTTCCTGAGGGCATGAGTAATTGTAACTAGTTAATGTTGACAGGAATAATTGATCAGTTAAAACTGGAAGGAGAAGATAGATTTGCTACAACTAAAACCTACATCCTAGACAAGGTATCAGTAATCTATTAGGTTCATGGGTAGCACAAGGTAACCCCTCAAAAAACTATTCAGATTGAGATGCTGGAAGACAGCAGGTGGATACAGAGCCAGCCACAAAGCCAAGGAGGCCTGGATTCAGGCCATGCATCCTACCAGTGCTGGCCATGTGACCTAGACAGAACACTTAACCTCTCAGTGCTTTAGGCAAGTGTCTGATAACTTTCAGTAGTAGAGAAAGTGTCAACTTGTTTTAATGGAATGTCTTCTGTGGGGGTTTTCAGTACCTGTGAAATAACAGATCCAGGCCCTATTCTCCTTGAGGACTCTGCAGAATAATATCACAGGAGAGGTTCATATGTGCATATTGCATCGAATGAGTCCAGTCTGACTATGAGCTGCCTTAAAATGGAGCACCCCTCATGGTACAAGAAGACTACTTTTAAATCCCTGAAATTGGCTTTGCAAACAACTTATAAGCACGCATTTTTTATTTGATTAAAACTAACAAGCCTGGTTTTGTGCTGAAAACCCCCAAATTTGCGTTCATGTTGGGAGTAAAAAAATCCCTGCTTGGTTGAGTCATTTGTCTGAGCATCATCAGTTTGCTCATTGGCAGAATTATAGAGTTGGACTAATCATGTATTGTCATACATACTGCACCTTTCAGTGCAGTTCCATATAGTGTCCATGACAGACAAAGCTACCTTGCAAAAAGAATTTCTGTACCTGACTCCAGCAAACATTTGGAAAGCTCTCTTTAGAAGAGACCCTGCTAGGAAAATTGAGTATGAAGATGTTTCCCTGCTTCTCCTATAGCGTGGCTAAGCCAAGCCCCATTGGCTTTAAAATGGCATTAGATTTGATCTCCCACTTAAGTGAGTCATATTAGTTGATTCATTGTCCCACTGAGATTGGAACTTTGTGTAAATTCTGTAGGAGCAAGAGATCTAACCAGGGGATTTCCAGTTCCAGGAAACCCACCTTAATTCTTGGTAGGCTGTGGTAAAATGGTTGTACTTCCTCAAGAGCAGGAAAATTGTTAATAACTGTATTGGGTCCGTCTGAAATTCATGCTGACTACTGAGTCCAGTGTTGGACCCAGGGAGCGCTTTATCTGCTTCTAAGTTATGACTCCAAGTAACAGAAATTCAAAAGAGGTGCATTTTTTTAAAAAATGAAATTGAAGGGTCTCTTGTTGGGAGGATAATTCATTTGCCAGCTTGATCAGTATTGCTGTTCTTGGCAATCTGCTAGTCAGATTTCTCTAAAGTTACTGTCATTGCCCTGTCAATGAATTTCCTATTGGAATTTAGACAAGTAGTACATTGCCACTTTCTTATTTATACAATTTGTCCTATTTTGGATAAGGATGTTTTAGTTGACTTCATTTTCAGTAAGGATTTATAAAAGAAAAGGCTATCCCTTTTGAAGTCAGCTGATTATTTTTAATCCCATTGTTCAGCTGACAATTGACTACAATAATAATTTTTGTCTCAATTGTATATCCTTACATAGTCTACTTGATACATACTCCTTGTCTGAATTTCACTAGGACACTTAGGGCAGAAGCCTGACAATGACCTAGAGAATTTGGCTAGCAGATTGCCATCTTGTTCAGTCTTGCTATTTTTGGCAATTGACTAAATTCTCTCATCAGTTGTAATTGAAACTCACTTGAAAAAAATTAAAATCTGCAAATAAAAGGGGACTTGATTCTTACAACTCAATTTTACATTTTTCAAAAATATATCCATAGACATATTAGTATTTTGTATGTTCTAATGCATAATGTAACCCAAGTGCTACAATAATCTTTATCATTTACAAAATATGTTAAATAAATCTATCTATCATACTTGGCATCTCAGGTATGATAGTTATTGCTTAGAAAGTGAATTTAAAGAGTGTAACTTGGTAGCTTGTGTCATAACCTCCCTGAGAGACAAGGCATGAGCTACAAAGGAGACCTGTAAATGACATACAGGGAGAGACTGCAGCCAGATGGACAGCTGAGCAGTACATTGGTTCTCTTGGAAGACTGAAGAGAACCACAGGAAGGTCTCCTGAGGACTGGGCAGGTCCTCCCTGCAGGATTCTGTGAGAAGGTGGGACAGACTGTGCTCAGGGTTGTTGGAAGAAAGCAGCCCCGTCACAACATCAGTCTCTTGAGGACACGGATCCCATCCTTTCCAGTCTTTATCTTCTCCACACCTTGCACTAGGCTTTTACACAGCAGGGCACCAAGCACTTTATTGAAGAGTTTCTTCCATGTCATGGTACAAAGTAAATTTGTCCTAAAAACTGGCGATTTTTTAAACTATCAGATACAAAGTGACACAAAATCACTGTATAAAACTTGAACTGTAAGAAGTTAATCACTTAATGCACCACACAACAGTCATTGCAAAATCAAACTCCTTAGTGAATTGTAAGGGCATTTTTGTCCTGGGTTTATCAGAGTTCCTCTGAGGAATATCTATATTAATACTATGTATGTCTGTGTCTTTAACATCTTTTTGAAAAATTATATTTAGGGGGGCAGCTAGGTGGCGCAGTGGATAGAGCACCGGCCCTGGACTCAGAAGGATCTGAGTTCAAATCCGGCCTCAGACCCATAACACTTACTAGCTGTGTGACCCTGGGCAAGTCACTTAACCCCATTGCCTAACCAAAAAAAAAAAAAGAAAAAAGAAAAAAAAAGAAAAATTATATTTAGCTTTGGCTGAATATAATTATACAGCTGGGATAAGGGGGTGGTGCAAGAATCTTTGCTATCAGAAATTGATGATCATTCTCTTCTGTGCAGTATGTTCTTGGTTCAGACCCTGTGCTAAAGCTGTTGGATGACAGTGGGAACATTGCTGAAGAACTAAGCATCCTCAAATGGAACACGGATAGCGTAGAAGAATTCCTCAGTGAAAAATTAGAACGTGTATAAAATACGCTTTCAGTTTTGTCATATCATTTATTTTCTTCTTACGTGAATTTTACAGTACCGATCATTGTAATCTTCAGTCACCTTTGAGCAATTAATTCCTTACTGTACAGCATGAAGTACTTTCTACTTTGCATTGAAAGTTTCTTCATTGCACATGATTTAAAATAAGTTGGCCAACTATACAAAGAGTCCGTTTTAATCTGTTCTCACTCTAGTTGTTACCACTAATGAGATGCTTTGTTACTAACCTGTAATTACACACATGCTAGGATTTGTTATGATTGGACCAGTTCAACACACAATTGTTGTGCTCCTTCTTTGTAAGCAATGACTGGAAGTCACAAATGGATATGATGTATTGTGCCTCTAACATTGCCTGCCAATGACCTCTTTGTTTTTGTGACACCCCACAAAATATTGTAGTTTATAATGAATGCTAGTTCAGAAAACATTTCATCATTGTTCACGGATTCAGCATTTGTAGCATTCTGTGAGACACTCCGAGAAGCGCACGTTAGTGACGATCACACAGAAAACCCCGAGAGGACTTGTGTAGATCCGATGTTTGGTGTAGTCTTTTCAGTGTTTGACTTTGCTACAGTGAATGAGTCGGTAAAAGATTCATTTATTAAACTGAACTAGAATTAAAAAGTTTTCCACCTTTTGTCTCAATGTGAAATTCTTCAGAGAATTATTTTAATGCTTTTTTTTCTGCTTGAATGACACATATATATATTTGAGCAAGTCTTAAAATATACTCAGATCTTATTTTTAGCAAAATTCCTAGAACCACTGTGCTACTTTGAAACATCTAACAGTTGCCATTGTTATTCATATTTTACGTGTTTATGGTACTTTTAAAGCACTATACAACACATATTTTAAATATATTAGATAATTTAAATTTGTAACCTAAAAGATTAAATTAAACAAGCCCTGTAATGGTTGAGAATTTACTTCCTTTTGTCCCTAAATCATTAAAAGATCTTGGTCTAGATTGGAGGTGTCAGACTCTGTCCAGTGCAACCATGAAGGAACCAGATTAAAATGTAATTGGGAAATGTTTACCAAAATAAATAAAAATACAATACAACATAGATAATATTAATTTGTGATTTTCTAACTCAGTGTCCTGCCTTCCCTTTCTATTTGAGTTTGACTCACTGATCCAGACACAGAGGTTCACAAAGTGGGGGATGCCCACCCTGTAAGGAGTGCTGGAACGATTCAGGAGGGTAGTAGTAGCCTTGGGTGCAATTAGGGGGCATTGAACAAAAATAAGGGGGCAGTGGAAGCATAAGGAAAGAAGAGAAAAAAATTTTGAAAAACCCTCCATACGTGTTTTATCTGTTGTGTAACAGTTAAAGTCGTAGGTATTACATTATTTTCCAAATAGACACACAAAATACAAGTTATAACCAGTGGTCAAGTCTGCCAACAGGTCTTAACAAGCAAGTGTTGGCAGGTGAGAGCGTTGTCCATTGTTGGGAAGTCCAGCATGCATCAGCAGGAATACTTATATGTAATGACTTGTTTACAATATGATACTGTACAGTTGTGTCATCAAAATTTCAGTGCAGGAAAAAACCCACAAATTAACAATAAATTATTAAATGTAAGATGCATCTTTTTTAAAAAATTATTTCTTTTTGAAATGATGCAAATTTCAGGGGAAAAAAAACCATTGTTTAAAGATTTCCTGGGGGGTGCCAAGTAATTCTTTTTTTTTGAAGGAGGCAGTAGGCCAAATAAGTTTGGGAACCTCTGATCTAGAGTATCAAAGTTGATTTTTCATTATAGAAATGACAGATTTACTACACTAGCACCCATGGTTATACAAGGTCCTTTTAAGTGGTTTGAACCTATCTCTAACTGTTCAAATTAGTTTCATAGAGTTGCTTCTGAAATGAAGTCAAAAAATGTTGAACAGTTAGAAGACTTCTTTAGTTTCAACCTCAAAGAATAAAAATGCATATTAGAAGTCTACATTTGAGAAGTTTTTAAAGAACAGTCATTCAGCGGTGTATCAATGTAATGAAATATCACAATGTTGTAATATGATGAATACAGAGAAATGTGGAAGGATCTATAAGAACTGAAGCAGAGTGAAGTAAACAGAACCAGGAAAACAACGTACACAGTAACTATAACAATGGAAATGGAAATAACCACCCAGAAATAAAAATCAAAAGCCAATGGTATGGGATTACAAAGAACAGATATGAGAAGATACCTCTCTCCTTTACAGAAGGCCACAAATATGACATGTTGCGTTTACTGTCAGATTTTTTGGACAGATTTATCAGTTTTGATTTTTTTCTCTCATTTTTCTTATTTTTTTTTTTTGGCCTTTGAGATATATTGTTTGGTATATGGGATTACTCTGGGAAGGGGAGAGATAATGGAGGAAATGTTTTGTGTGTGTAGTTTGTCCTTCTCAAAGAGGACCATGACATCAGGAAGATGATGCCATGACTTGCAAGTGAATTGGATTATAGTGGGGAAGGGCTGTGCAAAGCTACCAGCCTCACTTTCTCTCCAGAACCTCTGGGTCCAGTTACAAGATACAGATCAGGACAAGTGGAGATGGCCCAGCTGAGGAGGAAATGTTAGTCATATTAAAAAGACATCAGTTTTTTTTAAAGGTACTACTAAGAAATTTTTATAGAATTTCTTTTACTTTAGCATGATGCAGCAGGAACTTAAATCTCAGCTGCCTCCGTCACTTCCTGCTTGTGTGGGCCAAAGCAAGTTACTAATCCTATCTGAGTCTCGTCTCTTCATCTAAAAAATGACTAGACAGTCCCTTAGCATATTTTCTATCTCTAAATCTATAATCCTATGCATCCTGTTTGCTTTAATTATGAATTAGAAGTCTCCACTCATACCTGGTGTCCTATATAATAAAGTGCACTAGTTTTTTTCAAAAGTCAATAGGGCATAAACATTAATAGGAAGCTTTATTAAACAAGATGCTGTGTTGAGGGAGAGCATTCACCTTTAGTGATATTAGCAAGACATCTTACTACATTTGACCATCCCAAGCATATTTTGCAGGTGAAATTTAAGGAAAGCAAACACACAAAAACCAGATAACCAAAATGTAGTAATCTGTTTCTTTTAGGTACAATAGAAACTTGCCACATTTGAACTGTATTTAATCTCAGTACAGGAAGTTAGAAAATGACAATGACCCTTGAAATCAGGAAGAGCTCAATGTAAGTGAAAAGGAAATCCGTATGGGGAGCAACCCATTGTTAAAGGCAATCAGAAAATTTACAGTCAAGAACTCTTAAAAAAGGAAAGATTGCAAAAGAAAAAAGAAGTTGTTTCCCCCCCCCCACGCTTCACCCCCTGAAAAAAAAACAATCAAGATGATATCAGCAGGGGCAGGTAGGTGGCTCTGATAGAGCACTGGCCCGGGCATCAGAAGGACCTGAGTTCAAATCCAGCCTCAGACATTTGACACCAGCTGTGAGACCCCGGGCAAGGTACTTAACCCCAACTGCCTCACCAAAAAAGATGGTATCAGTGACTACTGATCCATATGGCTGCTTTATAAGAATGCTCTATGCCCATTTTTTGGATGCCCAATGAAAACTGGGCAACTGGCAGATTTTATCAGTCTTTGCTATATAGCAGAATATATCTTTGTTTCAGTTATAGAGCATTTATTAAGCACTTACTGTATGCTAAGCACTGTGTTAAGTGCTGGGAATAAAAATAGAAAACTCAGTTTAACCAGAGAGCTCACATTCTAATGGGGAGAACAAAATTTGGAAAGTTTCAACTGCAAGGCAGTTGTGAAGGTCCCATGGTCCTTAGAGTGCAGTAACAGTAGCTGATATGGACAATACAGCATCCTACTATTTAATTCTTCTCAATTAGAACAAAATTTAGCTCTCAGAGAATTTCTTTGACATATCCATTAAAATTACATTTGACAAATTTACTGCAGATGACTCTATTCAAAGATCCACTGAATAGTGATAGTTAATAAGTACTTGCTGGTGTTAGTGCAGGGGATACAAATAAAAGTAAAAGTCACTGCCCTCAAGGAGCTTATGCTCTAAAGAGGGAATCAGCATGCAAATGCTACATTTATACAAGGTGCAGTGGGAGGAGTGAGGAACAGGAGGAGGGAAGGCTTCATTGAAGGTGGATTTTAGGTGGATCATGAAAGAGGCTAAGGAAGCTAGGAGGAGAGAAGGGAAATCCGTCCAAGTATGGGGAATAAAACAGTGAAAAAACATGGAGTCTAGAAATAGCCAGTATAGTTAGATCAGAGAATATATGGAAGAGAGCAAAGTATAAGAAGACTAGGAAACTAGAAGCTGGATTATATAAAGGACTTTAAATGTCAGATGAAACTTTTTCTATTTGATCCTGGAGGTAATAGGGAGCCACAGGTTTAATGAATGGGGGGAAGGGTGGTGATACAGTCATACCTACACTTCATGTTGTTAGTTGAGTGGTTTGGGGTAGAAAGAGAGTTGGGGCTGGAAAATCAACCTAAAAGTAATTACAATAGTCCAGGTGTGAGGTGATGAGGGCCTACACCAGGGTGGTGTTTGTGAGTGGAAAGAGGTGTATACAAGATTTGGAGGTAAAATCGACAAGATTTGGCAACAGATTAGATGGGTGCGATTTGTGAGAGAAGCTGAGGATGATACGTGGTTGGTGAACCTGGGCGTCTGGGAGTATGGTGGTAACCCTCAACAGTATTAGGAAAGTTAGGAAGAGGGGAGGTTTTGGGAAAAAGACGATGAGTTCAGTTTTGGACTTGAGTTTGACATGCCTGTGAGACAATTGAAGATGTCCAAAAGTAAGTTGATGATTCTAGATAACTTCGGTAGAGAGATTAGGACTGGTTATATAGATCTACTTAGAGATAATAATTGAACCCATAGGAACTGATGAGATCACCGAGTGAGACAGCATAGAATAGGGCTTCTTAACCCTTTTTTGTGTTCTGTACCCTGTTGGAAGTCTGGCGAATCCTACGGAACCTTTTTCAGAATAAAGTGTGAAAAAGAAAGTGCATGTGATTACAAAAGAAACCAATCCTATTGAAATACAGTTATCAAAATATTTTTAAAACATGTTCATGGATCCCACATTAAGAACCCCCGCTATAGAGGGAGAAGATTAGAGGGGTGAGGGCTTGCAAGTGAACTAAGGTGTTGAGGGAGAGATGGAATGACACTAAATTGTGTATCAGATAAGAGAGTTCCCAAGTTCATGAACAAGGAAGTGGAGCATTTGTGGGTGATAAAATCAAGAATATGACTGTCTTCTGATGTTACAAAGTTACCAATGAACTCTTAATTGCCAAATCTTACAGTCTCTTCTCAGGACTCATCCTTCTTGACCTCTCTGTAGCATTTCACACAACTGACCATCATCCTCTGGATACTCTCTCCTCTCTAGATCTTTGTAACACTACTCTCTCCTGGTTGTCCTTCTACCTGCCCAACCACCTTTCAATATCCTTTGCCGGCTATTTTGTGCTGTCTTCTTCATTAAAATGTAAGTTCCTTGAGCACGGACGATCTCATTTTCCTATTCATTTCCCCAGCATTTAAGTGCTTAATATGTATATGTATTTTTTAAATTCATCGTTCTGTTTCAGGTTCTCAAACTCTGGATATACCACAAGGTTCAATCCTGTATCCTCTTCTCTATACTTTCTCTCTTGCTAACCTCCTCTGCTCCCCTGGTTTTAATGATCAACCCTATGATGATTCACAGATGTCTCTCTCATGCCTGAGCCTTTTCTGAGCTCTGACACTGCATGCATTAGTCAACAAGCATTTATGAAGCCCTGTGCTGTGATAGTCTGCTGAGAACACAAATAACAAAGGAACAATTCCTACTCTCAGGGAACATATGTTCTGATGGTAGAGACAAGTGCATAGATATTTACCAAAGAAACATAAAAAGAGTAGGGTTTTTTTTTTTACTATTTTTACTTTACTACTTACTGCTTTACTACTTTTACTTACTACAAAGTAGTTCAATACAAGGTAGGTTGGGAAGGAAGGCATTAGCTCTTTGGTGTGGCTTGAACTTTTCAATTTCTACATTAGGAATTCCTGTTAG